GACAATTTGATAATTACGTTAAAAAAACTAGTAGTTTTTATGAAAGGTAAGGTATAGAGGATTTTTTGCTCGAAAAGGTTTTTTTTGTGTGTGTATGCTGTTGATCGCAGATGACCTTTACAGCGTTACCGGGTTTGGGGACGGCAAGATCCTAAAGGAACCACAAGCCGAGAATTGGCGAGTGCCTCTAGAGGTATTCCAGGCGTATGGCATTTCCCCATGAGGGGGAGTCTCCTCTCCGTCTGGAGCCTCTAGATCACTCGAACCTATGAAGGGCTATAACTAGAGGGCGTCTCTGAGACTCGGACCTCGGCTCTAGGTAGCCGTTGTCGTGGGGGGACTTTACCTTTAAGAAGACCACACCACAGTAAAATGATACTCCCTTTTGGTGGTGTTCATCCAGACATCCTCAATTTTTGCCTAAATAGGTATCAGGATAGGTAATCAGCAAATTATGAGACGAGAAAAGTGCGATTCTTTGCGTTCATGCGTTTTGCTGACTATGATGCAAAACAATTTTTTGTTTTGTTGCGACGCGTTAGTCAGGTGAATATAAATATTTTCAAAATATAAAGTGCCGTTTTTTAAAATACGTCCGTTTTGCCTTAAATAACAGTACTAATAATAATAAATAACACTTTGAAACCTTATCAGTATTTTTTTAACTTGAGTATTTTCTTAAAATCCGAGTCCGTTTCTGTAACTTTATTTTTTGAACAATAATACCCGTTCTTCGTCATATTATATAAATATGACGAAGAACGGGTATATTTGTTTGTTGTTGTGATTTTTTGCGGTTTTTTGTATTTAATCATGTCTAAAAGGGGTAAAACCTTACAAACTCGGTAGAAAAGCACTACAGCGCCCACCAATCTAAATCCCATTCTCTTTCCGCACAGACTCTAACTAATATACTCGGACCCCCTTATCAACAAACAAGGAATAAGCTTGGAGTAGTTACGCCACAGAGCACACAACGGAAGCTCAGAAATGAATTTTTATTTTTCCCGTGTTTGCAATTTTTTTATTCGTAGCTTCCTCCATAAATACACTATTCAACACACAAAATATTTTTTCAAATAGAACCAGTAGTTGTTAAGATTAGCTCGTTCAATCAAACTCAAGGTGTCGCCTACTCGAGAGGTCTCGGGTTCGAATCCCGGTGGGGGCAGATGTTTGTGTGATGAATACGCGCATTTGTACTCCAGTCATGGATGTTTAATATGTATTTCCATATAAATAAACTTAAACTGATAAGTATATGTATTTTATCCGTTACCCTAGTATCCCATAACACAAGCCTACAGTGCTTATTTTGAGGCTAAGATAATTTGTGTGAATGTAAAATTAAATAAAAAAAATGTCTGCAAGAACATACGTCTATCTTTTAAGGGTGACCCACTATAGTCGTTTTCCTCAAATTAATGCGGATAAAACCATAAGGCACCTCAAATGATCTAATAATTTAACAAAACAAAAACGCAACAACTTTTTATGTAAGTAGCCTTGTCTACTCTATGTCCTAAGTATATAACTTACATAGTACAAACATTACAAAATCAGATTAGTTTACAATACAAAGCAACCCCTATCGAACCACCCCTCGAGGGCACCAAATAAATAAATAGCTATGACGAATCGCTCGTCTTTTTACCGCCGAACCGTCCGTTCGTCGCCGAAAATTATTCAACGCCGAAAAAAAATCTAAGCACAATTTTCTCTGTGAAAAAAAAGCTGAGCACAATAATGCAGCAAGCGCAACCCTTATCCGTAGGAATAACTTATGCTAACAAGTTAGTTCGCGTGACTCGGCCCTCGTTAGCTTAGCTTAGGGCGGTCGCGGACGGGCGACAGGCAGTCCGCATGTCTTAGCCGCTTGATGTAATTGTGTAATAGAGATTGCGCCCAGACAGTGTTTTCGGCGTTCGCCCTCGATGATAAATCGAAGATCACAATAATTATTGTTGTTGGCGACAGACAGTGACCACCGGCCAACTTACATATTTTTATTTTTTTATATATTTCATACTTGTTATTTATGTTTATTATTATTAATGTTATATTTGACATCGTGTTATAAACTTTGTGTTGTGTGTTACCTATTTCTTGGTTATAATTATAGATTTTAAAGAAACAAAGTATTTCATCTATATAACGCCAAGTGCCGTCACGAATAATTATATAGGTATTATAATAATGCATTTTCTAAGGCTGCTTTACATTTTAGTTAATCATGACTAGTAAAATAATAATTTAATTGTAAGGACCAAGCTGACACAAAACAACTAAGATGAAAAGTAACGTAAAAAAAGGAAAAATAAAAGTATTTATTTATCTAGTTCATCAATTATATAAAGGGATTGGAACCTTTATGATATTAAATATAGTTTATGCAGATGACATATTTTAACAAACGAATTATATATTTATGAATAAACGTAGCGAATGAAAGAAAAAAAAAACTAGTGAAACTTACTTTTTTTTTTCATTTAGCTATAGATATTTGAACCTTAAATCTAAAATGTATGACTTAGCTTGATAGCTAACTGATTGAGCACACAAACCACAGATAGTTACTTCGTATCCTCTAGATTTATCCAAAATATTAATGTAGTCATTTAAGAAAAATTTATACACATAATCTACACATACGTATATTCTTTATCAAATCGCATGAAGTGAAGAAGCCTTAGTCCAGAGGCTACCGTCAACTCTGCGTAATGCGACGTGTCATTTTAAATAGCCTCTCAGAAATATGAATGATCTGAAATAAATTAGTTACGCGAAACACTCTTATAACGACTAGGGCAGTCTAATTGTAGCTAACTGCAATAAATAATCACAACTGTAACACCTTACTTGCACTGCAGTTTTCATCTATATATATAAAACTCAAAGGTGACTGACTGACATAGTGATCTTACAACGCACAGCCCAAACCACTGGACGGATCGGGCTAAAATTTGGCATGCAGGTAGGTTATGACGTAGGCATCCGCTAAGAAAGGATTTTGATCAATTCTACCCCCAAGGGGATAAAATAGGGAATGAAAGTTTGTATGAAACTTTTTCAATTATAAACCGATCGGGCTGAGACTTTGCAGATATAAGCAGAATCATAGATGAAGGTCATTGTGTATAATACAAGCCTGAGAACAAAAACTGAAGTCTACACTTTAGTTCAACACCGAAGCGAAGCGAGGGCGAGCGGCTAGTTTATAAATAAAATTCATTTGTTTCGTGCAACATAACTCATAATCATTGCTATAGAAATCATGTCACTAAAAGTAAAACCAATCATTTATTCAATTTAAAATTCCTTCAAAACAATAATTAATAGATAATAATAATTGGGGGAAGGTCAAAAAATTAAATGTCACAAAGAAAATTTTCAATTAAATTGTTGATGTATGTGTCAGTTTTGTTGCCATCACTTCACTAGGCTATTCGTATTTCCTATTAACGGTAAACTTGACAACAGTCTGTCTTTGTCATGCTGTATAAGCAACGAAAAGGACAGACTGATGTCAAGTTGACAAATAACAAACACGAATAGCCTAGTTAGGTAAAAGCCTTCCTAGTCCCGCGTATGATCAACGAACTACCCGCAGATTTAGTTAATTGCCTAACACCATTGAATGTAAAATACAAGTTGAAAGACTTTCATTTTAAGACATTAGAAGGCACCTAACTGTATCCTATAAACATAGTACTTTGTATTTAATTAACTATTTCAGCTAGTCCCTGACGTGTAATTAGCATTGTTTTTTATTTCGTTGTAAGCTCTATGGTTTTTCTAATGCTATGTAACTACTGTTTATAGTGATAAATTAATAAAAAAAAAGTGCTGGCATGTGAACAGTGTTTAAGAATAAAAAGTCTTCATGGAATATGTACGAAAAATACAAAGAAAACCTTATCCATGAACAGACTCTATTGTTTTTATCGAAAGAAAATGAGAAAAAAAATTAACGTGTAAAATCCGCTAGTTTTTTACGCTTTTGTTTGACGCTGGCAATAATAAATTATTTATGTGTTACCTGTGTTTTTTCTTCAAACAATATGTTAAATATCAAGGAAAATCTCTATTTGCATTTTCATACAGGGCAAAGCGTAATAATATAAAATTTAATGAGCGCGCATGTTAAAGTGTTTCTGCGAAAGGAAATATTAAAGTTTGTATGTTGGGAATGCGAGAGAAATGTAATAATTGGTAAAGAATGCTAGCGAACATGCATTGGACAACTGAAATTATTACGTTGGTAGCTGACCTAGCTAACTTTGCGCTGCCTAATGTCGGTGAATGTGGTTCTCTTAATTTTTTTAAAGCCTAATTAAATTAATAATTTTGAAACCGCAATAAAACAAATACAGAAAAATCCACGCGCACCAGTCAACAGGCGGAATTCGAACCCGCACCCTTCGCTAACCGGGCGAATGCATTGACCATTATGCTACCGCGTTTATTATGCCCTGGTGGCCGTGTCGAATTCTTTCTAGCCTTTCTTAAGCTGCAAGGCAGTGCCATTTACTTTAGATTTAAACATCGAGCAGTTACATGCTTAAAGATATAAATGATAAATACAAAAAAGTTAAATATACTTCCAGGCACATCTATCGGCCCACTTATTATTATAAGTATCAACGTTCTGTAACAGCAATATATGTATAAAGTTAATCCATAATTTTGAAAACACACGAAAAGATGGTTCATAAAACAGCTTTAAAACTGTGTAGGTAATAACTTTTTGCTTAATGTAACATTTATTTTTAGTTAGGGTCCGTCAAAACATATAATGCTAGGTGGGTGGATAGATGTGTCTCGAAGTGTAGTTTATCAGGTAGATGGCGAAATTGAAAATTCGACAACGTGTACTTCAATGGCGATTTCTTTTATTTAGATTTCTATTTTTAAATATCTTTATTGTAGGAACTGATAGATGACCTTCATATAGGGATACAGTTAACGGCTTTGTTATTAATGAGTACGCCTCTTTGCAGTATCAAACCCCAGTCGAAAGACGGTGTCACCAAGAGCAACCCCAGCAAGAGGCATCGCGAGCGGCTCAACGCCGAGCTGGACACCCTGGCCTCCCTGCTGCCCTTTGAGCAGAACATCCTCAGCAAGCTGGACCGTCTATCCATCCTGCGGCTGTCCGTCAGCTACCTGCGAACCAAAAGCTACTTCCAAGGTCAGTCGCAGCTATTTTTATTATTGATCATTACATCGTTTATTCTCTCGACATTCTGGCCTTCCTGTCGCCCTTCGAGCAGAATATTCTCAGCAAGCTGGAGCGCTTGTCCATCATGCGGATGTCCATTACCTACCTGCGGACCAAGAGCTACTTCCAAGATCAGTCGCAGCTTGCTACACTTCCCGCAACCCCTCGACAACGGCTAACTAGAGCCGAGGTCCGAGTCTCAGAGACGCCCTCTAGTTGAGCCGACCCCCTCAGGTTCGAGTGATCTTGAGGCTCCAGACGGAAAGGAGCCTCCCACCGTGGGAAGATGCCATCCGACTGGAATACCTCCAGAGGCACTCGCCAATTCTCGGCTTGAGGTCACCTTAGGATCTCGCCGTCCCCAAATCCGGTGACGCTGTAAAGGTCATCTGCGACCAACAGCATACACACAAAAATATGCTTGCTACATTATTCAATATTATATTGTTTATTCTTAAAATACACAGCTTCGTTATTATATACGTGTAGTTTTGTCCCCTTCCGTTGAGAACAGAATGAAAATTAGCGCATTTCAACAAATCTGCTGTGTTCTTTCTTATTATGAAAAATATAAAAATATCAATTTTGGAGTATTACCATAAATTTAAGAGCATCCTTATCACTTAGGCATATAAAAACTAATTTACATCCTATTCTCAGGCTTCCTGGAATATACACACAAAATTTCAAAGAATCGGTCAAGCCGCTTCGATGAAGTTATGTTACAAACACTGGGGAACTGGAATTTTATATTTTTCGGCCTGAACATATAATATGTCATAGACCAATAGTCTATGACATCGGTACTCACTTTTGAAATTTATGATGTCCCTCTTAACCGCAATTTGAAATTATAAAAAGATTATGTTTTTATTTATTTTTAAGCATTTAACTGCTAGATGTTTAAATCTAAAGAAAATAAAAGGTCAGTGCATTCGCCCAGATTGCGAAAGGTGCGGGTTCGAGTCCCGTCCGCTGCCTGGTCCGCGTGTTTTTTTTTCTAGTAAAACTTTTCTTTAGATTACAAAAAGAGTTTATAATATTAATTATAAACTCTTTTCATTGGGGCACAGATCGGGAACATGATTAAAAACCGCACCACCTTGTACGCATCGACAAAATCAGCTTTTCGTATTCCAAACGCAAACGCAATTACATAGAACAATAAACGTAACTCAGGCAAGAGCATTCAACAAATAGACTACGCAAATAGTAGCGCCGATTCCTAGTTTACAATTTTAATCTTTATACAAAACAAAAACGATTAAATTCGGTCCACCAAGAATCGATACCATGCATACCGATGTATTCGATTACTTACGAATGAGTGCAGCGACACGTATTTAATGCTGTCAGCCAATTTTATTACTTGGTATTAATAAATGCGCGCGCGTCGCAAAGTTCACGATTCGCAGTAATCGATACTTGAATCGGTTTGATGTAAGCACTCGCTCAAGTGAATTATCGGTTTATCTAGTGTTCATTTGTGCTCGCAATAACTTTAATTAGAAGTCAATTTTATGTGTCATGAAATTTCCTATTTTCATTTATTTTAAGCTCATTTTGAATGTTAGAGTTTTCTTGCATGAATGAATGTTGTAAATATGAGGTAAATATAGAGAAAATTTTGTAAATAAATAATAAGGAATTGTGTTGTGTTTACCACTTTAGGTAACATAATAGGGTATTTGACAGTATTAAAAATAAAGTGCGAATTGTTAGCATCTGTATTTAGAATGATTATTGGCAGGAGTTTTTACTATTTTTACAGAAAAAATTTTCATAATTTTATTCAAAACCCACGATAAAAATAATAATTTTCTTGTCTATTGTCACGTGACCCAAAACGCTTTGGATTGGTGGAGCCTAAAATGACGTCACACGCAAGTAAACTTCAGGTTGAAGTGACATTAGATTGTATGGTTTGACGTTTTAATGATAGTCGTGTGACGTCACACACCAGTGAGACGCTATATTGTCCAGAGATACGTTTTTCGCGGCAACTTGAAAATAGAGTTTTTGATTTAGTTTTTTTACCGAAACACACAACATAATGATGAATATCCACTTTTTATGGACTCTATAAACATTTAGTAAATAACGGGAGATCGTTTTCTAAAACTTGTCAAATACCCTTTGTACATTGTTCTGGCAGTCTACCAGTTTCGACGTCTAAAAACTAAGAGCTCTAATGGATAGAGAAATATACTTATATTTAAAACCACTCGTCTTGAAAAGTCCAAGATTTGGTTGTTTCTCCATTTCAGGATCTCTTTTATGTATGTACGGAGAAGAGCAGGTGAAGTTGTGTATAAGAAGTCCTAAAGCAATGCGCAAGTGTCGTCACTTTTAATATCCATTCGAGGAAAATTATTATAAACTCGAAATCTGTAAACGGCGACAAAATATTGAAAAAAATAATTATAAGCCATTGCGTCATTTAATTGCCTATCTCAAATACCTTTCTAATGGGTATAATTTTTATTATTTAAGCATGTTTAAATCTAAAGAAAATATTACTAGAAAAAAATTTACGCGGACCAGGCAGCAGATGGGACTCGAACTCGCCCGCACTGACCACTATACGGTCCTGATGGTCGTGTTGAATTCTTTATAGCCTTTCTTAAGGTGCAAGGCAGCGCCATCTCTTCGCATTGTAGGTATATAAAAGAAAAATATTGAAAAATCTAATTTGGCTTTCATTCCACTGTATTTCAAAGGAAACATGATGCGATTGTCATCACTGTAAAAAATTGACGGTTCAAATTCCAAACAATCCTTCTACATTTTTTTACACACCTATTAGCCTAGCCCCAAAGTAAGCACTGTAAGGCTTGTGTCATGGGATGCTAGGGTAACGGATAGAATACATATACTGTACATATATAAGTATATTTTTATAGAATACATATTAAACATCCATGACTGGAGTAAAAATGCTCGTATTCATCACAAACATCTGCCCCCACCGGGATTCGAACCCGGGACCTCTCGAGTCGGCGACACCATGAAACCCGGCGTACAAACCACTTGACCACGGAGGTCGTCATGACATTGTAAGAAATATTTCATTGCCTTTATTACTCCACCTACAGTCTTTGTCGTTAAGAGTTATATTCGCAGAGCAACGGTTACGTTTAATCTGTGTCCTTCATTACTTGTAAAGTAATCGTACAGCAGCTACGATAATTTAGTTATCGTAGCTTCTGTACGAATTACGAGCGTTCTAAATACTTATAACCACTACATAAGTATCGAAACGAAACGAAATAGTATCATAAACTTATATTTAAAGTTTATAGGAATCAGAGACTAATAAATACTCGTACGTTTGAGTCACCAGAATTTGTTCCATTAGTATGACGCGATTTGAATATTATTTATTTTATTTTATTTATTTATACTTAATGCACAAGTGTACAAAGGCGGACTTAATGCCATAGGCATTCTCTACCAGTCAACCATAGGGTGTTGTGGATAAATAGTGGTAGGGTGCACAACTTACATGGAAATTACAGAAAGAACATATATAAATATGAAGCAGTCATATATATAATCACATACATAAATAACTATACATATACATACATACACATATAAATATACATACTAATACATAATAATGACGACTAACGTTTAATCTAGACTGCTTGTTCCTGTAAAAAGCTTCGTAGCTTGGTTTTGAAGCTAATTTTGTTGGTGGACATTTTAATATCTTGGGGGAGTTCGAATGAATATTAATTGAGTCAATGCTTTATGTAAGTGATAACATTGATTTGGTATAGGCTCAAATTTTTTTTTAATGAAGTTGTTTCTGTTTAAAGGCTGCTGTATTATTTTTCCCTTTTTTTATATAGGTATACTAGCCGACTCAGCGAATCTTGTACTGCCATGAAAATTGTTGGTGGTAGATAGTAGGCTGAAAATTTTATGTATAATATATTTCGTTTTTCATAAAAAATACCAAAATTATAAAAAAATGCGATGGACCACCCTTATCACTTGGGGGTATAAAAAATAGTTTACGTACCATTCTCAGACTTTCTGGATATACATACAAAATTTCATAAGAGCCAACAGTTTCGGAGAGGTTTCAGAGGTCATTGGATGGGTGACCAAAAAATTACTATCTCGAGCTCTTCCGTGCTTCGGAAGGCACGTTAAGCCGTTGGTCCCGGCTGCATTTGCAGTCGTTAGCACCCACCAACCCGCACTGGGCCGGCGTGGTGGGTCATGGCCCAATCTCCCTAACCCATCCATAGGGAAGGCCTGTGCCCCAGCAGTGGGGACATTAATAGGCTGATGATGATGATGATGAATACCGCGGGGCACAGCTAGTTATACATAAATCAAGAAGAGTATTCTTGATGTTCAGGATCTGTTACGGGCTTCGTACGTAGTCACAAAACGTAGATCTTGCTGATGTTTATTTTTTTTAATATCTTAGGAGGGTTTCAGATGGCACGCTGAGCCGTTTGCTCCCACTCGTTAGCATACACCGAACCGCACTGGGCCCGCGTGCATCATAGCCCATTGTAATCAAAAAAGAAAAGCCTGTGCCATCAACAGGCTGATGAAGTAAAACTAAATGTTTTACTTCATATTTACTTTGCTAATTTGGTTGAAAATTGTTTAATCGCCACTTCTAAATTTAAAAATAGGGCCTAGCTTTACTTAACTTTTGTTAATCTATACTTATAATAAATCTGTAGAGATGTCAATTCTGTACATGAAATATATTTTAAAATAACTATCAGGGGGTGATTAGTGATCGATACTGATGCCAAAAATGCAATCAGTAAGATTTTTGTCTGTCTGTCTGTCTGTGTGTATGTTCCTTATAGAAACAAAAACTACTCGACGGATTTTAACGAAACTTGGTACAATTATTCTTCATACTCCTGGGTAGGTTATAGTATACTTTTCATCACGCTACAATCAATAGGAGCAGAGTAGTGAAGGAAAATGTT